TTTGTAAATTACAGGGGGGGGGGAAAAGGGGGGTTTCTACCCCTTCTCCGGGATTTTTGTCGCCTCTTACAACCGCAGGCTTAGGAGGGAAAAATTCGTTCCACTTCCCCCCGGAGATAAGAGGAAATAAACAAGAACAAGAACTAGAAAGAAAATCGAAGAAAACCCAAGGGTATGATATATCGTTGTACATGTATGTGTATTGACCTGGGTAAGTAGAAGTAGCAAGACGTACCTGAAATTTTTATTTATGAGACAGAAAAAAGGACACCACAATCCTACCCTATGTAAACAATTACAGGCTTTCGTGTTACCCACTTGGCAGGATGGGAGTACCCCCTGGGCGGTTTCTGTCTACCAACCCACTCCCCAGGGTCAACAAACTTATCCCCCCTTAAAATTTTTGCCCCTCTCTTTGTCCCCTTTTCCCTTTTACAAAAAGGAACTAGCATGCTCTCTGCCATCCCTAGGGACCTTCCCCCTCCCTCATTTATTAACTTTGCCTTTTTTTCCTCATTCTCAGCGTTGCAGTGAAAAACCAGTGGATCCAAATCCCTGGTGCTGGATATGCAGCAGTTTTTTTTTGACAAAACGATTCACGGTCACTACAAAAATCAATAGGTTTTTACAGCGGTTTTATGCAGTTCTTGTGGGACATACAAAGATAGCTATCCATCTTGTCATTTTAGTTTCAACTCCTAAGTGATTTCAGGTATCCAAAAAATTTACTCATCTCCCCAACATTGATACAGCTTTATTTATGCTGCATTTTAGTAAACACACCCAATTTTTTTTTGGGGTTTAGGAAGTGATATTTTTTGGGTAAAGAAAATAAACTCAACTGCTTGGGCAGTATTCTGACCAATTTTTCACAAGGGTATTCTTTTTTTTGATTTTTTTTCAAAGATTTTCAACTCCAAAACTATTGGGAACAAGGTGGTCTGAGTTGAACCCCAGTATATTTCTTGTCAAACCACATTTAGGTTTTGACTGTCCCTTCCCCCCCACTGTTTTGTTTAGCCCCAAAATGCCTCACGATACCATGGAAAAAAAGCCCGCCGCTTTAGAACGTCGTTTGCCCCCTTAAAAATTTGGCCCGTTACGCAAGCATGCAGAATTCACTTCCACCATCACCCCAACAACAAACCAACTTTACTGAAAATCCCAACTTGCAGTCAGACTTTTTTAAAAAACTACCTTATTGCACTAAACCCTTTATTTTAAATTTTCAAAATTTTCACTGCCCTACCCCATAACCCCCTTACCCCGTGTATCCTGCCCCTGTTTCACACCCCCCTGCAGCCCTGTACTTTTTTAATTTGCACTAATTTCATTATTTTTATTCCCCGGGACAGTTGCCCCCTTATCCATGAAAGAAAAAATTTAAAAAATAGGTTGTGAGGGGCTTGGACTTCAGCAAAACGTGCTGAGCGTGTTAGATAGGGTGAATGGAGGAATGATATTGGGACTGCGATCTTTGGAGTGTGGCGGGTAAATTTTTGTGAAGGGATTTGGGAAACGGTTTTTTTCATTGTCGGACTTGAGTTGGAAATGGGAAGTACAATGCCTGCACTTTAAAAGGGGGGGTTTGGAATTGGGGTTTGGGGATATGTGTGTATCTTACGTAATGCTTCTAAATTTTATTCTGAGCCCTCTGCAAAAAACAGGTAATGTGTAGTGGGTGAAAGTGTTGAATGATGAGAAAGTATTTTTTTTTTGGGGGTTTTTTTTCTTTTTTTGGGGCCCCGCCTCGGTGGGAGACGCCGACTTTTGGAAAAAAAAAAAAAAAAAAAGGTTGATAGAGCTCATTTTAGTTTAAGTTTAAAAAAAATGTTGTTCTTTTTTTTCAGATGTGGAGTTGAAGATCACCAAATTTATTCGATGATGACGAGAGTTTGAAATTTTCGAAAACCAGAAGAGATAATGAGATGATCTGTTGACATAGGCTATAATTGATACGAGGTTGTTTTACCAAAGTACTGTCTATGTTGTTACAGAACTGTGGAAACTGTTATATTTTGGCAATGTATTTATTTGTAGAACAAGTGAATTCAGTATTTTACTGTATATTTTATTTGCTTATCTCTTACAGATGTTGATGTTTTATCATAGGTTCAGAATGTTTTGTAATTGATACAATCCACATTATTGGAATGTAATGCTTAAAAACCACTTCTCAGAGGATAAAAATTGTGCAAACACACTTTTTTTTTTTCTTATAATCCGCTGCATCTGTTAACCTTTTGGGAGAGAGCTTTCTTGAGTAGGATCAAGTTAAGGTTGTATATGATGTACACTTGGTCAGGTGTCCTCTAACTGTATTATGCATGGGGGAAAAGTGCTGAACCCATAGGGATCATAAGCACCTGGATGAATGGGAGGTAATCAGGTTTAATCCAAGGAAGGGGAGGGCAGGTCCAATTCCTTGGATCGCAGGTCCCTCACCAGCACCAGAGAATCCCCACTTAAGGAAAGACTAGCTTTGCAGTAACAAATAGATGTGGGTGAGCACACACAGCCCCAGCATGGTGCTCACACCTGAAAAAAGCATGTTTAGAAGCTCAAGAAGATCCAAAGGTTTGCAGCCAGACTAGTACCTGAGCTGAAAGTTATGTACCATGAGGAGAGGTTAAAGGGATTAAATCTGACAATTCTGATAAATATGACAAAGGAAACTGTAAAAACAAAATCTTAAGAGGAATAAATAGGGGAGACAGGGATAGACTGAATTAAGGGACTAGAATCAAAGGGGCACAGGCAGAAGCTGAAAAAAACAGATTAGCCACAGTTAAGTAAGTTTTTTTTTTTTTTTTTTTTATGTTGGTTGAAAATTGAAGTAATTTGAATGAGGCAGCAGTGGAAACAAACTCAGTACACAGTTTTAAGAGGATATGATAAGGCCAGAAATCAGTGGTGTAGTAGTACTACCACTGCTGCTGTTCTATGACCTCCACTAATACCACTATTGCTATCTCTTCTTCCACAATAATTACCACTCCCTTTTTCCCCTGCCTTCCTCTTGTATATATTTTGGCCTACCCTTCTTGCTTCAGTTTGACTTGTTAATGGTCCAGGTTATGCCAAAATAATATAAGTTTCCCTGTTCTAAATGCAGGATGTGTGATGTGGTGTAGTTATTGAATTTTCATGACAAGCCTCACAGCAATGAGGGGTTATTGCAGCTGGATGAAATTGCATACTGAGAAAAAACCAGCAAGTAGAGTTACACTTAACATCCTCAGATTACTGTGAGAAACTGGCTTAAAGGATTCACATGGCTGTAGAGGAAAAACTTCAAGCCAGATAGCCATCAATTGAAAGTTTTGAGGGGTGTAATCCCTTTACATCCAATATACATTCAGTTGAGAATGGAGCACTCTATACGCTATGCATGATGTAGCAAGAAATCAACATTGTCCTATATCCTCCAGAAATATTCTTGGATCATCAAATTATTCTGATAAGGGAGTCAGTGATCCTTTCCTTTCCACTAATTCATTCCTTTATTCATTCATTCATGCAATCACAGATTATTCTGATAAGGGAGTCAATGATCCTTTCCTTTCCACTAATTCATTCCTTTATTCATTCATTCATGCAATCACTCATTTTCTTATTAAGTCTTACCTAACTCCCTCCCTGCTCCAATGTGTTGATGGTGGCTTCAATGAACACTGCTTCTAATCTCAACAACAGATCAATCATTGGTGAGTACAATACAGTATATATTTTTTAAATTCCCTATTTATATTTCCATTGTTTATAGTGTTATGTATTCATAAAATGGTTAACACCAGTATGCCTATAGTAAGCAGTGCACCTATCTCTGATGAGCACATATTTTTTTAAATTTCAGCACTGGAAAATAAAGATAGAAAAATTATCTTACTAGTCTGTATCTTGTGTTAAAAATGCAGACACTTGTGAGAAAATTATTTGCTTAACAAACCAATCTTAAAATACTTAAGTAGGTCGTTAAGTGAGAGACCACTATATTTTCTTGACGAATTTCTGCCCTAATTTAAAGCAAAAAAAAAGGTAAATACTGTTTTGTCTTACCTAGTTATGTATAAAGGTTCTGTAAACAAACATACAAATGTGGTGAGGCAGTTGTGGTGCCAGAGCCTCTGCAGTCAGGATCCCTCCACTACACAGTTTTCTCATTAACGTACATTCTCAGTTTATTATCAGGTACCATTATGTACTATTTTAGAACTGCAACCAGAGTAGATGCATCACCAGAAAGCATGGGGATGTGCAGGTACAGTGTAATTGTATGAAACATTTTTTTTTTTTTTGATGCTTGATTTTAATGCAGATTGAATATTCTTTTGTAACTATCTATATAGGTGTTTTATGTAAATTAAGCATCATATGAGCATTATAAGTTTTAGAAAACATTAGTTAGATGAAAAGGATAATAATAAACAAAACTAAGCATTAAACCCACAAGGGTCACACAGCACTGCTAGATAAGGTAGTAAAACTCACTAGCTCAGCAGGAAGGGTGGCAGGTGGGGCCACCACTCGTAGACACCAGGTGTACAGCAAGAAGATTGAAAAAATCCATGGTATTTCTTTTTGCTTAATTTTTTGGAGATTGATGGTGAGTAATACCAAGTTTTCCATTGCTACTTAATTTTTTTTGGTTGCCTTTTTTGAAACATCACTGTATAACAAAATCATATTATAAATGGGATTGCTCCTGTTTGGATTAAATGTGAAGCAAAGGTATTGCATGCTATTGCAATGTGTCCAAAGTAAATGTATATCCCTTCTTACTTCATTTGGGAAAATTATGATAAGTTTATCTTACATTTCCTAACAAAATAGGTTTAGTTTTTTATTATTATTATTATTATTATTATTATTATAGGGGAGCACTGTATTCACAGGGATTATAGAGCAACTGTTTTTGAGGGGGGGTGAAAGGCATTCAGGGAACTGGAGCACAGATCCAGTTCCCTAGATCAGGAGCCCAAGGAACATTGTTTTGTTAATAAGTGCACTGATTCAGAATCTTAGATTTATGTAACAGATATAAACAATGAAGTGTGCACTCTCAACATAGTTTGTGCAGAACCAAATAGTAAATTAATGGTAACACTGTTTAATGGGACCCTGACTTTTTTTACAAGATATTTTCAGTGGCAGCTCATGGTAATGCAGTTCCTTAGTCTTGCAATAGCTTCAAACTAAGAGACAGATCAAATAAATATGTTAAAAATACGTATTCGTAGTGGGGAAATTCATGTTTTTTATCTCTATCCCATTATTTCTCATATGGCTGAAGAATTACTTTTACATTTTCTAATTAAGATCTATATAATTTAAAATATATATAGTAGAATGTATATATTTTTTATTTGTAACTAATATCTATGTGTGATTTTAAATATATAATAAATATATATTTTTAAATTTTATTCACCATTATCTACTTTGCCTGATACGAGTATGTATAGTATAGTAATTACATACAATAAGAGGTGGTAGGCTGGTAGACAGCAACCCACCCAGGGAGGCACTTAGTATACTTGCCATACAGATGTGAAATGGTGTTAAAGCTTTGCACCCTACATAGATTACTAGTCCTAGTTTTTTGCTTCGTGAAGAGACAGAAATGAGTTAAATTTTCCATTCAGCATGCGAATATAAGAAAATGTTCATTTACATATACATATTTTTTTTAACACTGGCCATCTCCCACTGAGGCAGAGTGACCCCAAAAAAAAAAAAAAAACTTTCACCATCATTCACACAATCAGTCTTGCCAGAGGCACGCAAATACGGAAGTTTAGATGATTCTCCAAACAGGGAATATCCCCACCCCCTTCTTTAGAGTGCTTTCTTCTGTATTTCTTCAATTTTATCTTCAGAAATTACAGGAGCAAAGGGGCTAGTAATTTTTGTTAGGCATCAATTACTAAAAATTTTGAGGCTGAGCTTCTAAAATGAATACCTGGAGTATACCTGTAGAGGGTTCTGAGAGTCGATACCCCCACGGCCCAGTCTGTGACCAGGCCTCGTGGTGGATCAGGGCCTGATCAACCAGGCTGGTAATGTTGGCTGCATGCAACCCGACGTACAAACCACAGCCCGGCTGGTCAGGTACTGACTTTAGGTGCCAGTCCAGTGCCTGCTTGAAGACAGCCAGAGATCTATTGGTAATCCCCCTTATGTATGCTGGAAGGCAGCTGAACAGTCTTGGGCCCCTGACACTTATTGTGTTGTCTCTTATCATGTTAGTAGCACCCATGCTTTACATTGGAGGAATGTTGCATCATCTGCTGAGATGCAGCACAGATGGCAAGAGAGAATTGCCTGTTAATATGAAAAATGAAAGCTGGATGTCATAGCAATTAGCAAAACAAAGGTAAAAGTTATGGGAGAGTTTGAATTGAGAGTAAATGGGACTAAGTTGTGTGTAACTGAGAGAACAAGGAGCTAAGTAGTAGTGATAATGTTAAATATGGTACGGCCTACTTATATGGCAGGTTAGGTTCCAGGCTACTGCCGGAAAGCGGGCATCGCCAGAAAGCAGAACGCCATATTTTCCTCTTATACGTAAATGCATGCAAATGCCAGACAACAAGTTTACACCAACTTAAGTTAGTAATAGAACAAGGCATTACAAAATACAATTAAAAGTAAAATACATACATTCATTACTTACCTTAAAATATTTGTAGTCTTAATGTAGGGCGAGAGGTGAGTAGTACTTATTTGTAGGAAGTCAGGTGTAGGTAGCCCTGGCTCCCCGTCCCAAACTTAATATACGGTAGACCATTATGTTACACGGTTTTATTTGGCATGTTTTGGTTATTGCACTACTGAAAAATTGCTGCACAATCTTATACAACACTTCGTAAAATTAACATGGTTCAGTTTGCTGAGGGGAAAAAATTTGGAGCGTCGCCCATGGAATATTTCTCCAACTCAGGCCTCTGCCTGGCTGTGGGTTAGACCATTTGGTCAATGGGGGAGACCTACCACCATCCATACACAATATTGAGTTTTCTGGTGAAAATGCTTAAGCTAATCATACAGCAGCAAGTAATTTCCCTGCTGAATTGCAGGAAATTATTTCTGAGGGTGGCTATGAGCCACAACAAGTGTTTAATGCTGATGAAACAAGTGTTTTTTGGAAGAAAATGCCAACAAGAACTTCTTATCAGTCAGCAAGAGAAAAGTGCGTTGGGCTTCAAGATGGCAAAGGATCGCTTCACTTTGCTCCTTTGTGGTACTGTGTCAGGTGATTTAAGTGTAAGTCCATGGTTATTTACCGCTCTTAAGAATCCTCATGCTTTGAAAGGTGTAGATAAAAACACCTTACCAGTAATTTGGAGGTCAAACTAGTCAGCATGGATGACAGAGGAAATATTTATTGACTGGTTTAAGCATGACTTTATTCTCGAAGTCAAGTTTTACATGCACAGCAACAACCTTGCATTCAAGGCTCTCTTCATTCTTGATAATTCTCATACCAATCCACAAGCTTTGCTGGATGTGACCCCACATATAAAAGTTGTATTTTTACCTCCAAATACAACATCTTTAATACAACCACTGGATCAGAGAGTTATTAAGTCATTCAAGTGTAACTACACAAAAAATGTTATGGAAAAACTAGTTGTATCAATGGACTCTTGACTCCAAACTGGCAGTACCAAGTTTCTGGAATAAATTTAACATTGCAGATGCCATCAGCTGTGCTAAAGTGCATGGAATGAAGTGCCCCAATCAACATTAAATGCAGGCTGGTGAAAGTTATGGCCTTCTGTAGTTAATTCTTGGACTGGTTTTCCCTTGCTTGAGAGTCAGGTTCAAGAAATTGCTCAGCTGGCAAGGATACTACCAGGTGATGGTTTTGAAGATATGGATGAAGATGTGAATGAGTTCTTAGAAGACGTGAAGACAGGAGTCCAGAGGAAATGTTGGCAGAGCTCGATGCACAGACACAAGAGAGCCACATAACAGAAGAATAATTGAAGAAGAACCAGCAGCAGTTTTGTGAGCAGTTCCATGTTGCTGCTAAACTAGCAGACTTTTTCACTGAAGAGGACCCTGACAAATCTAGAAGCAGTACTTTGAAATGGGGTCTAGACCAGCTGATGATGCCTTACTGTCAGCTGTATAATGTACTGCAGGGTAAAAGAGCCCAGAGATCCATTACAGAATTTATGCACACTCCAATCAACCATCGATTTTAGTACCAGAACCTCTACCATCCACTTCTGCTGACAACTAACAGCCATTCACCTCAGCCCAGTAGGGCCAAACCATGCATCTCCACTCTCTTCACAAACACCCACAATTTAATGTAAGGAATACTATTATTTCTGTTGCATTTTTAGTTTTAAGCAGTAAAAACATAATATATCATAACAATGAACTACAGTTACACATTCACTTTTATTTTTGTAGGATCTGTTGGTCTAAAAAAGAGTTGTTTGGCTTTTTGGGGGCTCCCAGGAATGTAACCTTATTTTTCCTATAAGTTCTTCAGTTTATCTAACACGGCATTTTCAGGAACCTAACTGCCGTGTAATATAACAGTCTACTATATGACATTTAAAGCAGCCCAGAGAGATAAAATACACATAGAGTACACTCATTATTTACCTTAAAATATGTGTACTCTTAATGTAAGATGAGAGGTATGTAGTATTTATTTGTATACAATATTTAATACAGCCTAGAGCCATATTATTACCATCAACATACCCTGCTCGCTGAGTTTAATTGTTTCTAACAACTACCTTTAGATGCCATCGTAAACGAAGGAAGAAGTAATAATAATTCATTTGAGAATTGTAAACAAAAGCGGTGTGTGTTAAGGGAAGTGACTGGGCCAAACGTAGATTCACGTTTTCTCTGGTGCTGGGCCAGAAAAACTTAATGTTTTCCCTCTGCCCAGCTACCACACCTCTATAGCATATAAACACAGCATGTTTATATGCTATGTAACATGTTTCTTATATAATTTTGAAAAGAGTATCATAGATGAATTAATGAAAATGTCTATATTAACGTAAAATAAGACATTTAATGTGCCCAAGAGTGATTATTATTACGTATTAGTATTATTACTATGGCATTAAGACTAGAGGGGCACTCTTAGTGGTTTTAATGTGTACCTGCATGCCAGTACAGTGTGTAAGTATATTTAGGTACAGGTACACATAAGTATAATTATCAGAGTACATATAAAATATGCAATAACCTTAAAGTTTCCAAACAACAGAGAGATGTGCTCAGGAAAAATGTAAACAAACCAGGTGGGGCACACCGTATTAGACAGAGCCGTATAGCGAGTTTTGGTCATAATTTGAAATTGGCATATTAGTGGAACACCGTAAGGCGAAATACCATAAAGCGGAGCCCTACTGTACACAACTGTAAAAACAAAGATGATGTAAATATTTATGTGTAGGTTATAATAGTGTTTATATACCTGAAGGTGGGAGGAGAGATTTGGCAGTGTTAAGCAAATGTTGAGTTTAAAACCAAATGACAAAATAAATATGATACCTTCATGCTAAAGTAGGAGAAACCATAGAAAGGGTGGTAGGAAAGCTTGAGAATTTTAATTATGTTTAGAAATCCATAATTTCTTTCATATGAGTTAAATATAATTAAAAAGTTTTAAAGATACTTGTGCACCACTTCACTGACCAAGATGCATTAATTTCATATTACTGCTGTCAAAAGAAGCCATTTCAAAATAATTACTTTTCTTCAGTGGGCAAAATCCACTGGATAAACTGTACCTTTAACTCATTAATTTTCAAATTTTATACAAGTGTACCTGTGAATTTTATGTATAGTACTATATTATGTACACACAAGTACAGTACTTTAGTGCTTTTTTGCAATTTTTTAGCATTATTCTGCTTTAACTGACACTGATAATCCCTGTTATTAATTTGTTATATTGAGGATTTACTGTACTTGCACTCAGTTTAAACTTGCCTTTACTTTTCTATGTATATCTTATTTCTTTTTCAACTGGATAGGGCTGATGCAAGATCAGGCCATGATAGTGATGATTCACAGAACCATTCACAGATATATAACCTTTTTTATGTGTACTGTACTTTTGACTTAATTTTTGTTACAGTGGTCCCTCAATAATAGTCGGGCTCGATAGTCGTCCTTTTCGGAAATCGTCGCGTTATTTTAGTCCAAACATTGGCTCAAATATGGTCAGTTGACTCTCTAATCGTCGTTCGTCCTGGACGCGTACTCACGGCTCTGAGCCACCTCAGCCTCCCTTCCCAGCCAGTGTGCCATTGTTTACCAGTGAGCAACAGTCCCCTCACATGTTCATACGAAATACACCTACCATCCGACTTACGATCTGCTTGACATACGTCCACTCGACTTACGACCGTGCATCTGGCAGCTGGGCTGGGCCGGCTGATGCACACCACTGTACAATATTTGACAATACTCGCGGGGGCAATGTGTCATACAGGCAGCATCAGTTTGAGTAACCCTGCCCTATCAGAAGCATCATACTGTATTAACTGTACTAACTGGACAGTAAATTTCACCATGGCCCCTAAGATGAAGTCTGAATCTTGCACTGGAGTTTGTGGCAAGAAAGGCTCTTACTCTCGAACTCTCTGTTTTCACTGTTGCACATAAACCTGTCTGTATCTGTCTGCCTGTATATCTGTCTGTATCTCTGTGTGTCTGTCTTTATGTCTACCTGTGTGTCTGTCTTTCTGTCTACCTGTGTGTCTGTCTGTCTACCTGTGTGTCTGTCTGTCTGCATGTCTGTCTCAGAGCCACTCATTAAGAGTGTACTTGGTCTTGAAGATGCCATATTAATAATGATAATAACAATAATAATCACTGAGGCGCATTAAATGTGTATAAAACGTTAATATAGACATTTTGCTTAATCCATCTATGATTTTTTTTTTCAAAATTATATAATAAACATGCTACATAACATATAAATTAACAAATATGAGATGTTTTTCTGGTCGGCTTGACAGTGAACAGGAACCGTCCGTGTCCGGACTGGTAACAACAACAACAACAACAACGTTTGTTTATATAACTCGTGAACATTCTACATTCTCTCTCTCATTTATTCATTTAATCTTGTCTACTCACCTCTCACTCTACATTAAAACTACAGATATTTTAAGGTAAGTAATGAGTGGACACGATTATTATATTATAGCTTAATAATAATAATATTAATATTAGTACATATGTATTATTGTAATAATAATGATTATTAATATTATTATTAATTTAGGGCACTGGAGCAGAGATCCACTGTATAGCACTTTGTCTGGATTTTTTGGGTTATCCTAGGTAATTTATAATGTGTATGATAACTTGACTTACGTGTACCAGTGAGAGAGAGATACAAAGAGACAGCCACATTCGGTCAGCCAGTCAGCCAACTAAGCACCCACCCACCCGGCCAACCACAGACCTGGCCACCCAGCCAGCCAGCCAGATACGTATTACACATGCTCCAGAGTTGTTTCTCTTTACTTAGGGTATAGGTTATACAACATTCTGGCAGGATGACACTACCAGTGGTATTCTCCCATTCCACTGTGTCGACAATACATAAAGATAACAGTAACATATGATACTGTATGCGATGTAAAATTTACAATACATATCACTACCATGTATACATTATACACAGTACATAAATAATTAAAATACAACAAGATAAAGAATCACACATAAAGTGGGAGTTGTCACAGTTGCTCTTTGCTGATGACACTGTGCTCTTGGGAGATTCTGAAGAGAAGTTGCAGAGATTGGTGGATGAATTTGGTAGGGTGTGCAAAAGAAGAAAATTAAAAGTGAATACAGGAAAGAGTAAGGTTATGAGGATAACAAAAAGATTAGGTGATGAAAGATTGGGTATCAGATTGGAGGGAGAGAGTATGGAGGAGGTGAATGTATTCAGATATTTGGGAGTGGACGTGTCAGTGGATGGGTCTATGAAAGATGAGGTGAATCATAGAATTGATGAGGGGAAAAGGGCAAGTGGTGCACTTAGGAGTCTGTGGAGACAAAGAACTTTGTCCTTGGAGGCAAAGAGGGGAATGTATGAGAGTATAGTTTTACCAATGCTCTTATATGGGTGTGAAGCATGGGTGATGAATGTTGCAGAGAGGAGAAGGCTGGAGGCAGTGGAGATGTCATGTCTGAGGGCAATGTGTGGTGTGAATATAATGCAAGAGAAATCGTAGTTTGGAAGTTAGGAGGAGGTGCGGGATTACCAAAACTGTTGTCCAGAGGGCTGAGGAAGGGTTGTTGAGGTGGTTCGGACATGTAGAGAGAATGGAGCAAAACAGAGTGACTTCAAGAGTGTATCAGTCCGTAGTGGAAGGAAGGCGGGGTAGGGGTCAGCCTAGGAAAGGTTGGAGGGAGGGGGTAAAGGAGGTTTTGTGTGCGAGGGGCTTGGACTTCCAGCAGGCATGCGTGAGCATGTTTGATAGTAGTGAATGGAGACAAATGGTTTTTAATACTTGACGTGCTTTTGGAGTGTGAGCAAAGTAACATTTATGAAGGGGTTCAGGGAAACTGGCAGGCCGGACTTGAGTCCTGGAGATGGGAAGTACAGTGCCTGCACTCTGAAGGAGGGGTATAAATGTTGCAGTTTAAAAACTGTAGTGTAAAGCACCCTTCTGGCAAGACAGTGATGGAGTGAATGATGGTGAAAGTTTTTCTTTTTCGGGCCACCCTGCCTTGGTGGGAATCGGCCAGTGTGATAATAAAAAAAAAATAAAAACAACTATAGAAGTAAATTATGGTAAAAAGAATGAAATAATGATTGTTCATTACATTACAGTATTATGTAGATAGTTTATATAGGAAAGTTTTGACATCATGCCCTACCCAATATGTCGGCAATTTTCAAAGGTTCGACTTACGTCCATTTCGACTTACGACCGGTTGGTCAGAACCAAGCTTGGTCATAAGTCGGATGGTAGGTGTATTTCATAATATTCCATTCATTTTTGTGCTTGCAAGTGCTAAATAAGCTACCATGGCTCCAAAAAAAGCTCCTAGTGCCAAGCCTTTGGTAAAGAAGGTGAGAAATACGATTGAATTTAAGAAAAGCATCATTGAACAATATGAAAGTGGCATACGTGTGGCCGAACTGGCCAGGATGTATAACAAATCCCGTACAACCATACCTTCCATCATGGCTAAGAAAAAGGAAATCAAGGAAGCTGGTGTTGCAAAGGGGGTAAATATGCTGACAAAAATGAGATCACCAGTACTCAAAGAGGTTGAGAAGTTATTATTGGTGTGGATAAACGAGGAGGGGGAAGGAGGAGAAAGAAAGATGGAAGAAGGTGCCTTTTTCAGAAATTAAGGAGATTTTTGAAATGTGGGGTAGGATGGAAAGATTTATGGAGAAATATCACCCTCAGAAGGATGTTGCAAGCCATATTGGTGACTTGTACAGTGACAAGTCACTGTACTGTATGAAATCTGAAAATAGAAAAGAAAATTTACTTCTGACTTATCTACATTCAAAGACTTACTTTTAGCACAATTTTATTGAGTGAATTATTAAAAGCCCTATTAGAACTATTATACTACATCTGAGATATATACAAAGTAGAAACCTTCTATCAGTTCACAAGGTACCAAATATTCTGCCAGCAACTTTAAAATATGATTTTAATTTAAACATACACTTAAACAATTTAGATTCTTTCTCAGTCCCAAATGGCTTGCATTCCTGGTGTTTTAACTTGCATAAAAGTTGTCTGTAACCCTAAACTTATTAATCAGTGGAAAACGATAGTACATATAAAGGATGGTCATGTGTCACACGTTTGACAATACATCAAAATTCATAACACTATTTTTTCAGTATTATGTCTTGTGAAACTTGTTAGTAAATGCAGGTCAGTAACTCAGGTCTCTTTTGCTTTACAAGTATTATAACAACACTTATTGTTGTCATCATTATATACATTTAAACCTTAGCTCTTAGTCAACTCTGAAGATTCTTGATTTGAGTCTACCACTTGACTGTTATCGAGAGCTCCAGAAGCAGCATGATTCTCCTCATCGTGTATTTTAGCTTCTTTATCAGCTGTTTGTTCTACCTTTGGAGGGACAATGCTAAATTTGAAGTTTCCTGCTTTTACTCGTTGTTGTAAGATACGGCCTTTGTTGTTTATCTCTTCCTCTATCGCTGCAAAAATGTTTTCCTGCAAAATATAACAAGATAACTATGATATACAAGTTTCAACCAGAATTGCAATTTTTACAACTGATGACCCAACTTTTAAGTTGTAATATTCTTTTGTTGGTTTAAAATCTAAATAAATATATAAATTGCAAGATAAATTCAAATTACTGTACAGTACTCCAGTATTAACAAAATAGGTATTCCTTCAGTACTCATTATGCAGTACAGTACTGCATATTTAATTTGTAAAATGATAAGGGACTACTTAAGGATCAATATACAGTACTGTATTATACAACAATTACTCTGAACAAACTGTTATCCATGCCTTGTATGGGTTATTTGTACTGTGTCTATTCATTCTTTTTGGTTGTCAGTGAAAGATGTAAAGATTGTTTTTTCCCTCACTGGTCAACAAAAAAAAAATGGTTGCCAAAGATATTTGAAGGTATTTAGGGTATTTTGGGGTTGCTGAATTTGAAAATGGCAGTAGATTTTTCAAATTGGCTCTAGTTTGTAAAATATTGCATATTTATGTTCAATTAACAGGTAACTTAGCCAAACGTGTATATGTAGTGACAATCTGTATACAGTAATGGTTTTAATAAAGATTAGAATTTTATTTTAAATTATTTAATATTTAACAAAAGGAGTTGTATCGACAATGACCACGTGACAATATTGTAACCTTTATTTTGTTATTTTTTTCCATATAAACGTGAGTTCTTCATGAAGAGCCTGCTTACACAATCCCAATTCATTTTGCTACATTTGTGGTGAATACTTTGCAAAACAAAGAATAAACATCACAAATTTTGTAAAACAAGCTTGCTTATTTTGCAGTGGCACTTGGAGAATAAGATGAGTCTTGGGCTCCCCATATGGTTTGCAAAACCTGTGTAGAATGCTTATGCCAGTGGAAAAATAGGCATAGGAAAAGTTTAAATTTTGGTGTGCATACGATGTAGAGAGAGCTGAAAAACCACCACAATGGTTGTTATTTCTGTATGGTAAATGTGAAAGGTTTCAATCGATAAAAGAAAGTCAAGGGGGAATATTCTGATTTGGAGTCAGCAGAGAGACCTGTGCCACACAGCAAAGACATTCCCATATAAGTGTTTACAATACTGCCTGACCTTCCATTGTCAGATGCAGAAGAAACTTTAGGTTTAGTTCCTCCAAGAACTCGATGATCTGATACGTGACCTCAGTCTGTCAAAGCAAGCATATGAACTTTTAGCATTCAGACTAAAAGAAAAGAACTGTCTACAATAAGAAGGTAAAATAACTTATCAGACAAGAGAGGATGACTCCTTCCTTACTTCAGATAAGATGAAGAACTTGTATACTACAATAACATCCCTGGACTTCTTCGAATGGGACTTTAATATTGACCAGGAGATTGGCAGCTGTTTATCGACAGCTCCACTAGAAGGTTGAAATGTGTCTTATTGCACAGTGGTAACCATTATGCATCTCTTACAACTTCTCACTGAACAAAACTGTGCTGATAACCAACACAGACAAAATTCGTACAATGTTTTCATGTGCAGTAATTAGTGGTATCTGAATGATCTTACTATGTTAATCTGTTATTATATAAAATGAAGTGCTAGTATGTATTACATGATTTGACTTTTGCATGATCATAAAAACCATTTCAATGTTATTTATAAGTTAGCCCTGCCTGATCAATGTATTTTTCATATCTTTTGTGTGTTTCAATGGGATACCAAATTTATCAAAAACTAGAGGCAATCAAGCAAAACCAATGACATATTCAGCATCAGCACCACAAACTTACCCAGCATAACATCATTGGCCAGAAAATGAGTATTGACCAGTGATATAATCCTTACATTGCCTGTTTTAATGCTTTAAATTCAGGTTTTTCAATAAATACTTTTTGTGTAACTTTTTCTTAGCTACAGTACTATTTATGTACAATTTAAATGGAAATTTTTAACTTTACATTTTTTTCTTTTCGAGTGAATGATGCTTCAGTTAATGTTATACACAAAGATTTCTTTAATTATTTTTTCAAAACTCTGCTTTGCATGCAATGAAACATAAATAACCTAGAGAATATAGTTTACAAATAACCTGCACACTTAGGAGAGGAAACATGGCATCATTTCAATTCATTCTGGACTAATGGTTTTCTAATACCAAGCAAAATTTAATCTGCAAGCAAATGAAAATGCAGGTTAAGGAGGTGCAAATTAAATACAGTACTGTCTTGGGTATTAAATTGTCTTTAATATTAGTCTCTAGGTGGAGAGTTATTTTAATGACCTACATGATGTAAGTAGGCTTGACAACCAGCTACAGTAAAGGTACATATATTTTATAATGCTGTCTTTTTCCAGCTTATTTTAAAACACAATCTTACCGCATCTTTATTTTCTGTTCCTCTAGACGTTATTGTAACTCTGATCTGATAACCTTTCTCTAACCACATCTTGATTTTCTTCTGTTTTGATTTCAGGTCGTGTGCAGCAATCTTGCTACTTATGGTCAATACTTTTTCTCCCTGAAAAATGTACAAAAAAATAGTAAACCCACTGTTTTTTACACATTTTTTTTTATTAAGACATGCTACATAGAGCAGTATACTGTACTGTACTCACATTTTCTGCACAAGATATCAAATATTGCTTATTTATCTATTTAACCTCGGGAACTTCAATTGTAAGCACATACAGTGCAGTATCTTACTAGGCAACCCCCATCTTTATGAGTGATTTTCTTAGGAATTTGCTTAAATAAACCAGCAGACATTAGAAACATTTGTATAGGAAAGCTTAGTCAATGTTAATGTTACTGCTTAACAAATCAAAGTTGTCACTTGCCTAACTGAGAGATTTATGCACTTCTTACACTTGTCTTGACAATTCTAGACTACACTTGATCCCTAGCATTTATGAAATAGATGTCAGTCTACATTTATTTATTTATTTATTTATTTATTTATTTAAAAATTTGAGCACACATACAGAGGTACAACAAATACAGGTAAGAGCAGTATGCCAAAGCCACTTATACTATGCATAGCATTACGGGCTGGCTTAAAATTAACTTAAGATTAACTAAGCAATGATGAAATCAGTGATAAAACATTAATGTAAACAGGTTACTATAAAGCACAAGTAAGTATTACAAAGACAGGTCATATGGTTGTATGCATTGTTGTACATTCAGTAGAATGGAGTATTCTGTTAGGTAGTGTATTTAAAAAATAATAAAGTTAGATTGGGTTTTAGTTTAACATCTATGTGATATAATTGTGAGAAACATTTAAGATATACAATTTATAAGGTTCAGTTATTCAGTATTATTTGATTTTGGGTGAGTAAGTGATCTTTGAGAAGAGACTTGAATTTATAAACAGGTAGTGTTTCTTTTATATTTACAGGTAATGAATTCCAGATTTTAGGGCCTTTTATGTGCATTGAGTTTTTACATAGTGTGAGATGGACACGAGGAACATCAAAGAGTGATCTGTGCCTTGTGTTATGGTCATGTGTTCTGTTGAGGTTGGCAAGAGATGTTTGAGGGAGGGTTAATATCAGAGTTAAGTGTTCTATGTATGTAATAGGTGCAGTAGTAAGTATGGATGTTTTGTATGGTGAGGAGGTTTAGTGTATTGAATATTGGTGGAGTGTGCTGCCTATAGTGAGAATTTGTTATCATTCTAACTGCAGCCTTTGTTGGGTAATTAGTGGTCTGAGATGGTTACTTGTTGTTGAGCCCCATGCACAAATTCCATAGGTGAGATAGGGGTAAATAAGAGAGTGATATAGGGCCAGGAGGGCTGACTGTGGAGCATAGTACCGTATCTTCGATAGTATGCCTACAGTCTTGGAAATTTTCTTAGAAATTTGTTGTATATGTGTATGAAATTTGAGTCTATTATCAAGGTGGATTCCTAAGAATTTCCCTCTGTTAGCTTTGTGATAGGTGATCCGTTTATCATTTGTTAAGAGGGACATCTGTAGCTCTGTTACCAAACTGAATGAAGTAGGTTTTGTCAATGTTTAGTGTAAGTTTGTTAGTTCTCATCCAGGTAGATATTTTCTGTAATTCGGTATTTACAGTATTGGCTAGCGTGACTGGGCTCGGGTGGGAGAAGACGTATGTAGTGTCATCTGCAAATAGTGTGGGTTTGAGTAATTGCGAAGCATTTGGTAGGTCATTTAATGTATAGGAGAAAGAGAAGAGGGCCAAGGACACTTCCTGTGGGACACCACTGTAATTGGTTGTGCAGAGGAGTTTGCCCCATTTGCATACACAATATTGGCTTCTGTTGCTGAGGTATGACTTGAGGTAGTTGAGGGAGTGCCCTCTTATACCATAGTGTGACAATTTTACGTGGAGCAAGTCATGGTCAACTGTATCAAAAGCTTTACGTAAGTCAATGAAGATCCCAGTGGGACTTCTTTTTTCTCTATTGCAGTGTATATATGTTCTAGCATGTGTATAATAGCATCATTAGTATTTTTATTAGGCCTGAATCCAAATTGGCAGGGGTTGAGTATGTTTTGGGAGATAAGGTAGGAGTAGATTCGTTTATGAATTAATTTTTCGAAGATTTTTGAGAGAGGGTGTAAGTTGGATATTGGCCTATAGTTATTCAACTCTGTTTGGTCTCCTCCTTTGTGGATCGGGGTGACCCTTGCTATTTTGGAGTACTGTAGGGAAGGTGGAGGATTCAATGGATTTGTTAAAGAGTGTTGCAATGATTGGTGATAGCACTTGTGACAGTTTTTTGTATATAAAGGGTGGTAAGGTATTTAAATCTCCTGCCTTGTTTTTAGTGTGTTGATAATAAGGAGACTTCGTATGGGTTAGTCGAGCTAGGAACAGTGTGTTCGGGTAGTTGCCGTGAGGTAGTCATTTGGTGGGGTATCTGAGCTTGGGATTTTATTGGCAAGGTTTTGTCCTATAGTGGAGAAGAAATCATTGAGTCTGCTGTTTCTGTTGGTGGGAGTTGGGGTTCATCTGATTTTGCTAATTTATTTCGCTATTTCGTGATATCTTTTTGTTCCTAGAATTTCTGATAGGGTTTTCCAGGTCTTTTTTATATCACCTCGTAAGTTGATAATCTGTTCTCATAATACAATTTTTTTGCCCTTCTTATCAGGCTGGTTTAGGATTGACGAGTAACGTTTTGTTTGGTCTCTGGTTATGTGACCCATTCTGTACTGTTTTTTCATATTGGTGTTTTGTATTTATGGATTTGAGAATGCTGGGTGTTTAGCCAGGGACTGTTCAGTCTCTTAGCTGTCATCTGTTTAGTTTATTTTAGGGCATGCTTGTTATAGAGGTATTGGGTCTTTTTTAGAAAATTATTATACATTCGTCAATATCTGTATAGATTTCTAGCTCAGTGTGCCAGTCATGTTTGCTACTGCTGTTGTGAAGTTATTAATGGCTGCCTCATTGTGAAGTCTGAAGGTGACTTTAGTAGTGTCTTGGGTAATTTACCAAGAGTTGTTATGAGGAAAGTCGGGTAGTGGTCTGTGGTATTATCTGTAATTATGCCTGATTTTAAAGGGGATATGGTGTTGGTCCAGATGTGGTCAAGTAGGGAAACACTAGTCTCTGTAACTCTTGTAGGTTTTGTTACTGTTGGTAGCAACATACAGTTACTCATTGTGTTTGTGAATTCAGTAACGTGTGGGTCCTGGTCTTGCAGGAGATTATATTGAAGTCACCTGAGAGTAGTAAGTGATCTTTGTTCATGCGTGCATCAGTTATCATACTTCCTAGGTTTTGACTAAATTGGCTAATGTTT